TATAATTTGAAAAAGGTTACTTATAGTTCACGAGCCTTTTGTATCATAAATTTTCCAGGTGTAAATGCAAAGTTGTAGATCACACAATTATTTTTTTGGCCTTACCGGAAAAATACTATGAAAATGACTCATTTAATATATATGTCTAGTGCATCGCATGAGCTACTTAACTAACAAACTCTATGGAAATGACTCATTTAATATCTCTACCATGTGCATCGCACGGGCTACGTACTAGTTATATATGTATATATATATGTGAAAAATGCTACAAGTACATAATAAATGTACAACAGTGTACATAACACTCACATGGAGTGGGGTCCATTTGATTTTTTATTTTTGGTAGGACCCACTCAATGTGAGTGTTATGTACACCTCAATCTACAATATTATGTACACATAGCATTTCTCTATATATATATACTAGTTGGCCGGATGGTTGTGCACGCACAGCCGGCTCTAGTCCAGTCAATAATTATAATCAATATTTGTCAATATTAAAAAATACGCATACTCATTTTTTTGGCATGTATAAATGTACTATCAAATAACTTAAGAACAATATAGTTGACTTTTGACAAATTTAGTCTAAAATATAGTGAAAATTTGTCATCTCTTGAAATGATCAGTTGAATTTATATCTATTTTTAAATATTGTTACTAAATTTGATACAAATGAAGTTTAAGTTGAATGAATTTTGACAAGGTTTGACTTTCATAAATTGTCTGAATAGACTTGTAATTCTTACAAATTCGTCACAATTAAATGTACGCATATGCAGGCCTAGTTTAGTCTTTAATTTTTTTACTAGTATTATTATTAAATTTTTGATAATGCGACATAATTTCAAAATAAACCGTTCAATTTATTAATTATTTATTTTATTATTATTCAGTNAGGTTTGACTTTCATAAATTGTCTGAATAGACTTGTAATTCTTACAAATTCGTCACAATTAAATGTACGCATATGCAGGCCTAGTTTAATACTTTAATTTTTTTATTAGTATTATTATTAAATTTTTGATAATGCGACATAATTTCAAAATAAACCGTTCAATTTATTAATTATTTATTTTATTATTATTCAGTATAACATATTTATTTGTTGATCACAAGTCATCTCACATATCTAGAAATAATATAGTAGAAGATATAGAGGAAAAGAAAAACAATGAAACAGAAGTGAGGTGGGGAGGTGATCATGTTGTTTTATTCACAAATGACTTCCTCTATATACAATACCACCACACAATATCTATCATATGGAAAGGCTAACACATGAGAAGTGTAATGCCTTACAAAGCAGACGACATAAGGGTTACAAAACCTTTCAGCAATATGTCCATGGTAATTTATTCTTTGCCAACACGTTAATTGTTAATGGAAGAATATTTGTATAAATACAAGTTTAGTGTATCTGCATAATT